CCTCCTTTTAAGTAAGGTGTGTGAGATTCTTATTTGAGGGAGCTCCAGATGCATTTCCTACCTTGCGCATCTGTTTGAGCCAGTCATGCATTGGTGGTTCAGTGGTAGAATTCTTGCCTGTCTGGGTCTGATTCCCAGCCAATGCCAGAACAGCTTCCTTTTAAGTAAGGTGTGTGTGGTTCTTATTTGAGGGAGCTCCAGCTGCATTTCCTACCTTGCGCATCTCCTCAAACAAGTCAAGCATTGCTGGTTCAGTGGTAGAATTTAAGCTTGCCATGCGGGAGACTGGGTTTCGATTCCTGGACAACGCAAGAACAGCCTCCTTTTAAGTAAGCTGTGTGTTGTTGTTATTTGAGGGAGCTCCAGCTGCATTTCCTACCTTGCGCATCTCCCCGAACCAGTCAAGCATTGTTGGTTCAGTGGTAGAATTCTCGCCTGCCACGTGGGAGACCCGGGTCTGATTCCTGGCCAATGCAAGAAAAGCCTCCGTTTAAGTAAGGTGTGTGAGATTCTTATTTGAGGGAGCTCCAGCTGCATTTCCTACCTTGCGCATCTTTTCGACCCAGTCAAGGATTGCTGGTTCAGTGGTAGAATTCACGCCAGCCACTCGGGAGACCGGGGTCTGATTCCTGGCCAATGCAAGAATAGCCTCCTATTAAGTAAGGTGTGTGTGTGGTTCTTATTTGAGGGAGCTCCAGCTGCATTTCCTACCTTGCGCATCTCCTAAAAGTGTGTTTTTCAGGATGCTGCATTTTACAGATAATTAATGGAAGCACTTTAGACAATGCTTTTTCATGCTTATTTAATGAATTACAAGCAATTACTGCTCATGATATTCTGAAGAATTCCTGAAGGCAATAACACTTTACAGGCAGCAGGCAAGAAAGGTCAGGGTTAAAACAACTAATGACAGTAAACTGACCTCTCTGTTGTCTCTGAAAAACACCAGAAGAAATATGTCCAGGCTTACGGCTGACCTGCATGAAAGTGGGATAAACTGCAATGTCAATATTGTAAGATCCCTAAGACAGCGCTACAGGGGCACAAATGGAGTGCTGATCATCATGGCAGTGTCAAACAGCATGTAACCCTGTGTCCCCCCCACCCCAGATGTGTTTGAGAACATGGTGGTTCAGTGGTAGAATTCTCACCTGCCACGCGGGAGACCAAGGTCTGATTCCCGGCCAATGCAAAAACAGCCTCCTTTTAAGTAAGGTGTGTGTGGTTCTTATTTGAGAGAGCTCCAGCTGCATTTCCTACCCTGTGCATCTGTTTGAGCCAGTCAAGCATTGGTGGTTCAGTGGTAGAATTCTTGCCTGCTGGGGTCCGATTCCCAGCCAATGCAAGAACAGCCTCCTTTTAAGTAAGGTGTTTGAGACTCTTATTTGAGGGAGCTCCAGCTTCATTTCCTACCTTGCGCATCTTTTTGAGCTAGTCAAGCATTGGTGGTTCAATGGCAGAATTCTTGCCTGCCAGGCTGGAGACCTGGGTCTGATTCCTGCTCAATGAAAGAGCAGCCTCCTTTTAAGAAAGGTGTGTGTGTTTCTTATTTGAGGGAGCTCCAGCTGCATTTCCTACCTTGCGCATCTCCTCGAGGCAGTCAAGCATATTTGGTTCAGTGATAGAATTCTCGCCTGTACGCGTCGGATTACTTGCTCACCAGTGGATCCTCTGCAGTGAATGGGTGCCGTCAGAATGGGAGTTCAGACAGCTGATAAAAACATTGATATTCATCTAGTTCCACCTATTCAAATCATGCATGTGTATTTGCTTAACTACATTTGATGCTTGCAGCCTACATTGTAGTGTTAGATAATGTTGGGGCAAAATTAAATAACTTTCATCAGCATAAGAGACAAACTCACTCTCAGTGTCTTTTAAAGGTTTTATTCTTTGCAAAGAAGGTCAAACACCATACAGGATACAAGTCGCTGCAAAGTGTGACAAGGAAGGGAGGGCAAGCCTCCGCTTTATATCTCTTTTCCAAGTCAAGGTTACAAAGTCTTAACAGCTGTATTTTCCATACATGGACAGAAAGTCAAAAACACAATACTATATCATACTTCTAAACATCGGTTCCCCCTATATTTAGGGCCTAGATGACCCCCCCCCAGGTCACGGGCAGACGCCTATGGGTCTCCCAGTTATCCTCCCCTAAGCCCCATATGGCTCTGTGGACCCTTTATCACCCATATATATTATGCTTAAGTCCCAAACCCATCTCTCATTGTGACTACACAGCAGTTTCAAGAAAACACATACACTACATTATGTTCCATAAGCACATAGGTTCATGCAGAAGTCAATAGAAATTAATTTTTTTCCACCACAATTTCCCCCTTTTTATCATCCTTTGATAACTAATAAAACAAAAATTCATTACAATGCTTAAAACTCTTACCAAGATTAAATGTAATAAACTCAAAATAATAATAATAATAATAACAATAAAGCAAATTTAAGCTTTCACATCACATTTTTTACCCTTCATCTCTGATTTTCGTATAAATGATCACTCTCTTAAATTCGTGAAAGAAGTCAGAAAAACGCTAAAGCTTTTAATGTGGGGACAGACCCTAATTTTAGCAAGCAAAAAGTACAGATATAGTTGGGCTAAACACTGACCAAACGCCCCACGTCTTGAATACAAAGTATCGTTCTCTTAATTTGTTTAACACATTTCACTGTAACTTCCACTACTGGTAGTTTCTTCATCATCTATTTTCTCTTCACCCATGTCTAAAAACATGTTCTCAGGGTATACAGTCATTTTAACCATTTGATGTGACATACCAGACTTCATCAGTCTCTGTACTGAGCTGGATACAAACTGAAAAATGCAGGGTAGGCACAATAACAGCAATAATCCTGCCCCCACAATTGGTAATACAGTATTCAGCAACCAGTATCCCCATCCTCCCCACAGGTTTGCTAACCATTCAAGCCATACATTATTGGTTCGTTCAGGCTCTTTTATGGCCATTCTCATGTGAGCGATGATGTTGGTAACATTTTCGCTGTAATCTGGAATATGGAAGCAACATGATGTACCTAGCATTTTACAAACTCCCCCTCGTTCTGACGTAAGCATATCGAGTACTAATCTGTTCTGAATGACTGCATCCCTAATTTGTTTCATTTCATCATTAACCATTGTCAGTGCGTTCTCAGTGCTATTGGCTATGGCTAACACAGTCCATGCTAACCCATTTATCTTATTTATACTCACAGCAGTTCCCACCCCCAGGAAAACTGACCACCCTATGTTAGCCCAAGGAGTTGTCCAAGGATTAGATAACACATACCCATTGTACCTTTCTGGCAGAGTCCCCGGTAAAATGTTAACATTCCTTTTCTTTCTACTCTCTCCCTTGGTAAATACACAGATGTCCCTACATTTATTAATGCTGGATAACAACATCCTGACCACCCTTTTTCTGGCATATGATGAAATGCTCTGTTTCCACACACCCACACTGCTGCGGGAGACGTGTCGCTCGGCCTGCTGAATGGACATGTGAAGTTTGTCGCTGTCCCATCGATCATCGCCGTGCAGTTGTTCGCTGTTCCATTCTTCATCTCAATCCTGATCCTGCAGTCAGACCATCCTGCCTTCAGCTTCAATCTCGGTTTTGTCAGGCAGACGCACACATCCCCTTGCGTGTGTATTACTCTCAGTGGTGGAATCATCATTTCTGGTTTGTCGTCCCACTGTGTCTTTTTGCAGTCAAGCTCAAGCCTCTTCCTTGGTATCCTCCCTTTCTGTGTATCGTCCGCAGCCATCAGTATCTCAGTCATTTGTTGCGGTATCAGACATCTGGTTTCCGTTAAAGTTGCTACAGTCAATGGGGCCGCTTTCCACGAGTGAGACATTTGCAGACATAGCCAGCAACTCCTGTTTATCTCTAATTCCTTTTTCTGCAGCACAGCCAGAGTGCACGCTTTATTCCCATGGCACTTTGCCATGGCCCCTCGCACTTCAGGATTCACTCCCCCTTTCCCTGCTCCTCCGTCTCCCATCCATGCTATCTCTTCCTTTGTGGCTGGTTGAAAGGCAGGTTCAACGAGGGGTTTCACTGGCTCTGGAGCTGGTTTTCCCACAATAATGCTAAAAGTCTCATACCAGTCGTCCCCTGTCTTGTCAATACCACAATAGTACTTGCCTTGGTCTGAAGCTCTCACATGGGTTATTGTGACTGTCATACCGTCTCTGTTGTGGCCTCGCTTATTCCTCTTCGCCACCTTAAATCTTTCATCCATTCCATAGTATGCAGGTTGATCATACGCTTTCACTTCACTCCATTTACATGAGTCTCTGCAAAAATAAACGTGTGCATAGTCAGCATTGTTTGCACCGCCATACCCAGGTTTTCCGCAGTACGGGCAGTTCTTCACATATGGATTGCAGTCGAACTTTACGCTGGATCCTTCTGTTACCGTGACAATGTTCTCATCCATTCCCTTCGTTGGTATCACCATTGTCAGTGTTGATCTCTTTATGCGTCGATGGTCAGTACCATTGGATGAAAAGTTCACAGTCAGGTCGACCCATCTTCCTGTTTCTTGTATCAACTCTGCAGTCAGGTAGAAGGTGATTGAACAAATAATCGTACCCAGCACAGTCAATATGCATGTTGTACCTCTCATTCCACACAATCCGTGCAGTCTGAATGGGTGCGACGGCTTCACTTGCTCCATTTTGTCGGCTGGCAGTGTTAACGTCACAGTTGTTTGCCCAGGAAGTATGAGGTAGACTGGTTAGAGATGCGCTGTGAGTCCGGTTTCTTCTATCTTTGCCACGGCGCCCCCGCCTTAGCACAGATTGCACCACTTTCGTTGGAAATCCTGTCCAGCCTCCCTCTCACCTTGCCAGAATTTTGTGGGCTCCGGTTGAGCACCCCACTGTGGTGCTTTCGCTATCTTTATTTCCTGAATTCTTTCTCAGTTCGTATCGTTTCACTGTGTCCGCTGTTTGTGGTTGAATAATGAGCTTCAACTTGCACACAGGCTGCCTCAGTACTTGTTTTTCAGTTCTGACCTTCCTCTTGCTCTGATAAGGACGCTTGATGTTTATACAGGTTTCCGGCCCTTGTTGACATGTGCTTCAGATCTCTTACTCCCTCCGCTCCTCCTCCTGAGATGCAGATGGAACCTTCCTGCAGTGGCTGGCGTGAATCCACGTTGCCCTCTCGGCCACCTTTACTGCCGTGTGGGTAGCTAGAAGCACCTGGAACGGTCCCAGCCACCTCTTTGCTCTCCAGCTTTTCCTTCTCAGATCTCGTACCACCACGAAATCACCTGGTTTTAGGTCATGCAAGGGAGTTTCAGCAACTTTCCCCTGCGCAGCTTTCACCTGCACACAGACATTAGACAACAGAGAGGACATTTCTTTGCAGTAACTCAACATGTCATGCTCACACACCTCTGTTGATGGCAGCTGTTGTTTAGCCCCTTTCATACCCATAAATGGTGGTCTACCGAAGAGAATTTCATATGGGCTCAGGTTTACCCTAGATCGTTTTCTCATTCTCACGTACATGAGAACAATCGGCAACGCCTTAACCCATGTGAGTCCAGTTTCCTCACAGCATTTAGCCAATTTGTTTTTTATCATAGCATTTTCCCTCTTGACTGCCCCGCCCGAAGCTGGGTGGTAGCTGCAAAGTGTCCTCATGTCAATTCCCCAAAACTTACCCACTTGTTTTATTGTCTCATTAACAAAATGAGTTCCATTGTCTGAACTGATTTTTCGTGGAATTTCCCATCTTGGGACTATTTCAGTCAGCAGAGCCTTTGCTACTGCTGCTGCATCCTGTTTGGACGTTGGGAAGACCTCCACCCATTTGGACCACATATCAACCATTACCAGACAATATTTCTTCCCTTCACATGGGGATAGTTCAATAAAGTCCATTTGTAGATATTCAAAAAGCCCTGTCGGTGCCGGCTGGGATACTTGGGACATTTTTATGCCTCTTGCCACATTATGAGTGTTACAAATGACACATCTTTTACAAAAATGTTCAGCAAATGTTGTAAACCCCTTCGTAAACCACAATTCTTTCATTTGTGCAATCATTCCCCCTTTCGATGCATGGTCTTTCCCATGCATTGACTTAGCATAATGAGTAAAGAAGTGTCGAGGTAAACAAGGCTTGCCATCACAGCTCATCCAGACACCATCCTTCACTTTACAGCCGCAGTGCCTCCACTGGTCTTTTTCTGCCCCAGAGGCAAATGCCTGCATGCTCTGTAAGGAAGAATAAATGTCAGGGTTACTTTCAGATAGCATAGTACACTCTGTTTCTTTTGTCTACTCTGCTGCCGCGGCCTTCGCAGCTGCGTCTGCTCTGGCGTTTCCTGTAGATACAAAATCTTTGTTATTTGTGTGTGCTGCACATTTACAAATGGCTATCTTCTCTGGCAGCAAGATAGCCTCCAGCAAAGCTGCTACAAGAGGAGCATTCAATATTGGGCGCCCATCTGACTTTAAAATTTTTCTGTGTTTCCACAGTGCGCCAAAGTCATGTGTAACCCCAAATGAGTAGCGCGAATCCGTGTAAATAGTGGCACATTTGTCTGTCATGAGTTTACACGCCTCTGTTAGGGCCACAAGCTCCGCTGCTTGTGCTGAATAATTTGATGGCAATGAGCCAGAAGCCACAACTTCAAATTCAGTCGTTACAGCATAGCCAACTTTATTCAGGCCTGTTTGTGGATCTTTGAAAGCTGAGCCATCCACAAAGAGGACATTCTCACAGTTTTCAAGCGGTACATCAGAAAGATCTGGACGTGGCGTACACACCTGTTCAAGTGCAGTCAAGCAACAATGGTGCTCCTCCCCATCCGCTTCCGTCGGAAGGAGAGTAGCAGCATTCAGCGTCGTGCATTGTTTAACAGTGATATTCGGCATATCAAGCAAGATAGTGTGATATCGTAACCACCGAGCCATTGATAAATGCGATGTTTTCTGTTCTTGCAAAATCATGGACACTGCGTGTGGCACCATCAATGTCAGGTCAGAGTAACCTACAAATTCTCTAGACGCCATTACGGCCTGTTCAGCAGATGCCACCACCCTCAGACAGTGTGGCAGGCCTGCTGCAACTGGATCTAGTTTGCTTGAAAAATAGGCCACAGGTCTCAATCTGTCTCCATGATGTTGCAATAACACAGAAGTCATAAATCCATTTTTCTCATCTACCATCTGAACAAAAGGCTTGGTTGGTACTGGCAGGCCCAAAGTTGGCGCCAGAGACAGCTGAACTTTCATGTTCACAAATGCCTCTTCTGCCTCTTCTGTCCACTCAATTTTGTCACATGACTTCAACCCCTTCCCTATTGTTAGGGCTCTCAGAGGCTGCTCAAGAATTGCATAATTTGGAATAAATGTTCGACAATAGGAACACATACCCAGAAATGACAGCATTTGTTTCTTTGTGAGTGGTTTTGGTACATCTTTTATAGCCTTAACCCTTTTGTCAGACAGAGATTTGCTATTGGGTGTTATTACATGCCCTAGAAATGTAACCTGCTGCTTCGCAAACTGCAGCTTCGCCATACTGACCTTGTGGCCCTCCTGAGCCAAATGCTTCAGGAGAGTCACAGTATCAGTTACACACGTAGACTCATCTCTAGCACACAGACAAAGGTCATCCACATATTGTAACAAAGCAGTTCCAGCTGTCAGGGTCAAAGGCTCCAGACTTCTTCGAAGTGCTTCGTTATACAGAGTCGGTGATTCTCCATACCCCTGACTTAAATGTGTAAATTTGTAACCTCTGCCATTAAATTCAAATGCAAACCAAAATTGGCTGTCGTTATCCACTGGCACACTAAAAAATGCATTAGCCAAATCTACCACTGAGAAAAATGTTGCATCTTGTGGTATTTGTGACAGGATTGTGTATGGATTTGGCACTAATGGAGCCCTTTGTCTGACAGCTGCATTTACTGCCTGTAAATCTTGTACAAAACGCCACTCTGTGGGTTGACCTTTTTCTCTTATCTTTTTCACAGGAAAAATTGGAGTGCGCACTGGAGAATCATTGCATGGTATTATTATTCCTTCTCTTAATAGTGACTCAAACACTGGTTTTATACCAAGTATTGCCTCTGGCTTTAAGGGATATTGGTGCTGACACGGCCTGCCTCAAACCAGTCATTTTCATACTGGTTGTCTCGTTCCACTACGACATGTGACGTGCAATGTAAATTGTCAGGCAACATAAGTTCTCTGTCAAATGGCTTAGTTTGACTTTTAGCCAACTCACACATCATTTCAGCCCAATCATGATTTATGATGTGCCATTCATAGGCCCACTTTGGCTCTGCCTGCAGACAGCACAATTGCTCTCTCCCTGCCACTCGGACACCCCAAGAGTCTGCAACCAGCGTCAAATTTAGCCTACACAATAAATCTCTACCCAGGAGGGGTACTGGACATGCTGGAGTATAAATGAACGCATGTTTCAGAACCTCGCCCCCTTCTGTTTCACAATTTAAGGGCACTGTGAATCTTTCACAAATTTAATGCCCTGATGCAGAGATAGATTCATTTGTTTCGCCTGATAATAACGGTTGACATGGCAAGTCACATGGTCGTATAGATGACCTGGAAGCCCCAGAATCAGCTAAAAACTCAATCAATATCCCCTCCACTAGCATGGGGTATTTAGGCATCGACATAAAAGCTTCACTTTTGTACATCCTTACACATTTATCAGAATTTTCATTACTCAAATCAGAAATACATAAAGAAATGCAAGCTTTTTCTTCATTGCAGAGAGCAGAATGTAAATCAGTGTGTGTGTGTGTGTGTGTGTGTGTGTGTGTGTGTGGTTAAAAAATGTTCACTTCCCTGCCTTGTGGCCGTTGACTGCTCGCCCTGGGCCCCTCCTCCCTGCTCGCCGTCTCCCTCGCTTCAGTCTGCTTCTTGATTTTGTTGGTTCCCTGGGCATTCCCTGGCCCAATGACCATCTTTCTTGCACAGTCTACATTTGGTGCACTTTCTGGTCACATGATCATCAGTCTCGCAGATCCAACAACCCCATCTCTCAGAATTTCCCTCAGTCCCCTTCGTGTAGTTTCCTCCTCGCCTTTTTCCTTTCCATCCTCTTGCTTGCTGATTTCGCTGCACAGAATAGCCCCCCGGTCCCGTTACGGCTTGCACCACGGCCAGCTGCCATTCTTTGTCAGTCTTGGCCTTTGTTCTTTCTTT